AAGTGTCCCTGTAAATCTCCAATGGTGGAGATTTTGCAGCCTCTGTAAGCGGTGTGTTTCACTGCTCATCTATTCCAACCACAAGAAAGACTTTCCTTATGTCAAAATTTTTCCTGTTGCAACTTTGAGCTTGTTAGTCTTCTCACTGAGCAGAGGAAGACTTTATTTCTTTCCTCTGTGTGAAATTTTTGTCATTTTTCTTCATGGTCTTTTCTAGACTGCGTAACCCTGATTCTTTCACGAATTTGATGAGAAATCTGAAATACTTCTACTACATTCACATTACTTGAAATTGTTCTTGAAGTACAATACTCAAAATTGAATACATTTTTCCGGTGAAAAGTCTCATCTGTATAGACTAGAAATGAAAGCTTACGTGTAAAACTTGTAAGAGTCTGTTTACCAGTCATGTTGTAAAACTTGCAAAATCATACAGGTGGGATACTGAGTCCTGTTCAAGTTTCTGTCTACGGTAATCCCAAGAAACTTTATGGAGGAGCTGATACACTGTCATACTATTTATTTTGGGGTTTGGTAGTTGATTATTCCTGCATGTAATACTTCATCCTGTTTATTTCAGATCATTGGTGTTGATAAATTGAAAATTCCTGCTCTCCTCCAAAGAGCTCTCACTGCCTACCTTGGAGTGTCTCAGATTTTATGTGTACTGTAGTAGCATTTCCATGACCTATGAAAATATAAATAGTTTTGGAATCAGATAGACTACCATGGAATTGTCTAATACATTATTCTTAGTTAATAATTTTATGTTCTAAAATGGGCTTAAGGGGAGGATGGAAGAGAAATCCACTGAGAGGTACTAACACATGGGAACCACAGCTGGCTCTTAAAGCTTGAGATTATTAGAAGGTCCCACATATGCATCCCCTGTCCTTAGGCTATACCCTAGGCACCCACTTAAGGCTACTTGTCAGAGCCACTCTATGTTCTGGCCATGTGGGTCAGAACAAAGATCCATTTTTCACTGCACTTATGTTCTTAGGGCTATATATTATTGATACTGAATTATGTACTGCAGCTTTTCAGCCAGTTGTGCCACCCGTTGTATAGACTAGAGGAAATAACTGTATTTCCCTGCATTGTTTTGAAACTGGCATTTGAAACAAAAGGTCCACATTAGCACATCTTTTGCTTTTTCCCCATCCACAGTGCTTGCTCAGTTAAGAAAACTAGGGACATGTGACATGATTCCCACTGCTGGTTCTATGCCAGTGCGTTTTTTCCAGGAATTGAACTTAGGTTGATCTGGTCTAAAATTCTTTAGCTTCTCTTCTTCCTTGTTAGGCACCACACTTTGATTTCCTTCCTCACCTTTTAGAATCCCACCTACACTGCAGAATCCTCCAGCATAGTTGCTTGCTGTGCAGATGACTTCAGAGACATCCTGCACTGCCCTTCCCTGGGAGATAGGCAACTGCCGTGCTCTGGATGGCTGCCTTGAAAATAACTCAAACAGACCCCCATACTGGTGATATGGCCCTATTTTTAACAGCAGGAAACTTTCAGCAGCACCATCCCTTACTTACACTTGGCTACCTAATTCTGTCACGTTTTCCAAGTTAGAGGAAGGAAGAAGTTTAGAAATGCTGCAAGTAGAATTCCGAGTTGCATGGTCCCACTGTATGTAATGTAGCTTGTATTACTATATATACTGTAACTTTCTTCTATGATAGAGATAACTGCTTTATCATTTTTAAGGTAAAACCATAGCCACAACTGTTACTGTAATCTTAGGAGTTCAATCAGATTACAAGATATGGAAACTAATAGACAGGTTCATTGCCAGATTAAAATGGAAGTGCCTAGAGCTCCTCTACTGCTACATTTTCATCGCTTGTAAACTCCCACCTGTCTCTGCAGAGCAATATTCCCCCTAGTTTTCTTGAAGACACTGCACAATTTACGTTAGTGTTCTTTGCCAGGTGAACAGTGACATCCTGTTGTCTCTAAATATTTGTGCTGTTCAGTATGATTCTTTCACAGCAGCCTCCCTGCCACTTCTTATCTGCATAGTTAAACATAAGTGGTTTATTGTATAGTTTGCCTAAGCATCTGTAGTAGTTATTGGCACATGGCAAATAACTGTATGAAAGTTATCAAAACCAGGAGTAATAGAAAGCTGCACAAGCAAGTAAATGATTAGAAGTTGATCCATTTGATACAAGAAAAATAACAGAGCCATCTTTCAATTGTTATTATTTCACAAGAAGCTCTCCTTGTGTAAAAAAAGGCAGTTGTTATGCACACTGTAGCTGTCTTTCCAACCACATTGCATCAAAGCCACTTAATTCACTTGCTCTTTACAAAGAAGAATGTGTGTGAAAGCCAGGATTTATAAATATGCTGGTATTGGTGAACCCTTGTATTAATCCAGAAGCTTCCCTAGACCAACGTCTTCAAATGATGCAGACTTCACAGACTTTCTGCTGGGTTGAAATTCAATTACTTGAAATGGACATAACTCAGAAAAAGACTACTGAAATTGTAAATACAAAGTGCTTGAAATAACAGCTTTTTTTTTTTTTACATCCTGCCTTACAAAGAACTAAACTTACAGCTAAATCTTAGCATTAAGATGCATTCATTAGGCACAAACCTTTCTTTCCTACATATAACTAGAGAGAGGAGCAGCAGATCTTTTTCTTGTTCATTTACTTTTAGGATAAAAATAATTTTTAGTCTTAGACTCCTCCTTAGCTTCTGAAGAGTGGGGGGAAAAAAAAGCAGTGATATGATCTGCATGCTTTATGGAGTTGGAGTTTTATAGTTGGTTTTAGTCATATGTAAGTGATGACAATAGTATTTGTGGTTCTGCCTTCAAAATAGGTCTTTTGATATACTAGAATGACATTTTGATATTTTTCAACATATAACACACTGATGTCATGTATAAATTTATCAGTAAGGTTTTTTTTGTGCTTAGGTCTAATATTTAGCAAGCAGGACTAAACACACTGTTAAAGTTCAGAAGAGGTGCTGGAATGAACATTATCAACTTTATGAGTCTCCCTCCACAGTACCAGCTTCTGATGAGAAAGTGTTTTATGCTAATTTAAGAAAGCCTCAGAACTACTGAAGAGAATACTGCTGACCTGTAGCAGGCAAACTTATTTCATCTATAATACATAAAAGATCAGAATTTCCTTTTGCAGAAACTATGCCAAGTATGCAACTGGGAGTTGAATACTAGCTGATTAATGTGTTGTTAAAAGACAGCTAACAAACTTCCAAAAGTAGTTTAATTAGATTAAAATTATTAGGTTGGAATGAAAAGCACAGTTACTATCCTGAATTTAAAAGATGTTTAGAAAGACAGACATGAAATTAAGACAATTTCCCTCATAGCAAAACTGTGAGATTCTGAAGCATAATTTCTGTTTTACTTGTTAGTTCATCGTATCTTTGGTCAGAAAGCCTGTTGGTATAATTGAGCAAAATGTCAAACACAAAGATTAGCCTGAGACAGGGTCAGTGAAATTGAAAAGTGGATAGATAGTGGCTAATACAATAGATTTGGCAAAGATATTTCAGATATATAGATAATAGCTTTTAACATGTTCTTTTTGTCTCTCAAACACTGGATTTAATCAATAACAACATCACTTGATATTATAATAGTTATTGAAAACAACCTGGAAAAACACCCTCATACTTAAGAATAATGTTTAACCATCAGAGATTAGGGTGAACATTATGGGGTAAATGCATGCAACTTTGCAGCAAAGTGTGATGGAAAAAGCTGATACTAGCTAGCAATCAGAATCAGTATACCAGAGAAAGATAGGCCTCGGGTATTTCACTGTCCTCAAATGATAACTTGTAAAAGAAGCAAATTTATCTTAACTAGTATATCTTTGCAAAATTTCCTCAATTTAATAATTTTTGTGGAAGGAACTGCTTGTTGGACTTAACTACAGGTGCAAGGAGCAAAATGCTAGCAACAGATCCAGGTTTACAGTAAGTGCTAGAAGAAAATAACGCTGCGATTGCAAATGCACAAGGGAATTTTTTTGCCAGTTTATAATTTGTTGCAATAATTTATTGCTAACTTGTTTTCTGTATTAAAACCAGAACACAGTGACACTTCAAATCCACTAGAGCAATTTATTAAAAATTGCATTTTTAAACTGGGACATTTGTCAAATGTAACAGATTGAATAACTGACATTTCCCAACTTTAACCTCTAAAATACATAAGTGCAAACAAGTTTACTTCAGCATAATTCTATATCCAGACTTCAAAAATGGTCTCTGACATTGTCTGAAATGTAAACTTTTTTCAGTACCAAGGAAGTTTGTATTTGCTAGGAAGTTTGTTTTCCCAATGGCACTTTCTTTGAGAAGAGCTTAAACCTTGGTCAGCATTTTTATATGAGCTCTAAGTCACCCTGACTGTGGTTCAGGAAAACAAGCCACTTATGATTGATGTTTTCAACACAAATCTTAAGCAGCAAAGACATCTTAACATCACCCCCCTGAGTTTTAATGTACCAAGATGGCAATACATTACACATGTATGAGATATATATAAAATACATGTATATGTACACACTATACATATACACACGTGCCATGTATACATATATATATAGTGCGCCTACTAGGGCCAAAAATCTTTTGCAACTGTTACTGTCAGTTAAGGTACAAGCACAATCATCAGAATTCATCAAGAACTATATTTGCCAAACATTAAAATAAAGTCTGACAATAGGTATGCTTTTACTGTTCTCATTTTAACAGTGCAAAAAAAAAAGTCAGTAGTTTACTATTTTAAGATATTCCTAATTCTAAAAATACTTCCATTTGCAACCAAAAAATGCAGTAGCTGTTTTTTGCAAAAATGTCAAGTAAAATATTTGAGGCCAAATAAATTACTATAATGTTTTTGTGGAACTGAATTATAAAACTAGTAGTCCTTCATACAACCTTAAGAAAAAAAGCTTTAAAAAAAGATCTTTTGCCTTTGTAGAAGAGCATATTGGCAGTGTATATAAAGCAAATATAGTAAGACCATTTGGAGCTCAAGCTGTACAAAAGTCAATATGTGCTAGTAATTCTCTGTGCTGGCTTGTTGGATACTGTAGTTTACATCTGGGACACTCGAGAAAGCTTTCATCAAGAATGCTTGAATGTTTCAGGGAAGGACTTCTGTTGTATGTGGTCAGCTTCTCTTCAAACACAGCTTGCAAATCTTCTTGTGGTTCCATATGTCCAGATTCTTGGAGTTTCTGGAAAAGGAGAAGCTTTGGTGTAAGATTGGGGCATGCATGCACTGATCAAATACTCTATGAAAAAAATATTAAGGACTGATGGCACACAAGCCTTGTGTGTATTACAGCACTAATGGTAGAATTTTAAAGATGGCTAAATGCAGCTGTGCTACTCATGTTAATAACAGAGGGACAGTTGTGCAATGCTAACACCACATTTACATTAGATTGCAGGTAGCTTTTCTGCAGAATATTTAAGACAGGTTTTGTGCAATGTCTGACTGAGAATCCTTCCCCAGCCATCCTCCTAGCCACTCACACACTATCTTTCCTTAATAAAATGATGCCTCAGTCCCCTCTACGTAGGATTCTGCCTAGTTACCTTACCAAAAACTCTGCCATAATTTTTTCTTCTCCTCCTGTTCCTATGCGTGAAGTTTCAGTGCATGAAGGCTGTCCCTAACTGTAAAAGGCACCCAGTTGTCAGTTTGAAAACTACTCCTCCAGCCTCTCAGCAGAGAAACTCAAAGCTGTAGCTTCCCTGCTCTGCCCAAACTTCTGCTCTACTCCCACCAGACAGAAGGTTTTCCAGTGGCCTCCCCTAGCAGCAGCAGCAACTGTAGTCCTAGCAAGCAAGGCTCTCCCAGGGGCAACACATGAATAAAGAACATCAGTATCTCGGAATCCATTCCATTCCCTTCCTCACAATGGCCCCAGACCTGATCTAATGAAGGACACGGGTATCCAATTTCCATTTTGAACCTTATTTAAGTAAGCCCAGAAATGCAGTTTTGACAATCCTCTTCAGCTATCACCTAATCTTACAAGATACCTTATTGTAGAGTTCCAGAAGCACCAACACTTAAAACGCATTTCTGCTCAAGACCAGGGCAATCCTGGATACAAAGCAAAACAGATCAGTGGCTTGCTTAATACTGAATCCTTCCCTACAAATTTCTCCATTAAGTCTAAGGCTCAAATCTAAGTGGCTTTCTTTGGGTTTATATAATAAGCAGCAAACAGACCATGGCCCTCAAGACAACAAATACCTTTTTTCATTGTCATAGGGAGCTTGTCTTTTTGGAAATGAACAACCCAGGTTTTAATGACTCACCCATCCTGTATCAGGTGGAGGTGAGGGAGGAATTCAACTTCTGTATTAAGGATTGTGCCCTGTTCACTAGCAGCAAGTCCAACTAGAAATATACTGCAGCTTTGTCATTGTGCAAGAGACAAAACTAGATACACATTGTGATACAAAATACAGTTATGTTCCCTGCTCAGGAACCTGACTGTTCTGGATCTCCTTCTGCAATCCTAGTTCTCTGTGCATGCTGTAGAGAAAAATGATGCCTAGCTAGTTGATGTAGGGTTCTGCACCTTGCGGCCACATACCTAAAGGATGTAAGGACCTACAGTGAATATCTGATGACATTAACAGAAGACTCACTATGCTTGAAATAAGATCCCAAAGTGAAAAGATGTAAATCTATGCAAAATCCCTGACTAAATTAACCTGCAAGTTACTCGGTACATACCAGAGGTTCCAGACGGGTTATTTGCTCCCTGGCCTTGCGCAGTTCCTTGAGTACTTTGTTTAACTGATGCTGCAAGTTCTGGCGATCGAGCTTTTCATTCTCAAAGTCTGTGGTGCATATCTGGATCTGGCAACCCCCCCCAAAGTGAAAATTAAAGAATTAAAGTCAGAATTATTAAGAATTGAGGGGGGGGGAGAGAAAAAGGAATGTTTCTCCTTTATGTATTTAAAGTAAGTTTTACTCTATCATATCCTAAAATGGGATTTAAAAAAAAAACCAAAACAAAACACTTGTTGCTTTCACTACAGTGAAATTCATACATGCCCAATTATGAAAATCTTCTCCCTTAGTAGAAGTAGAGTTTTAAGTTATTTTGGTTGGAGGGTATTTCAAGCTGTCTTGTGGTCTTAAACTGAACACTTCCTAGAAAAGCATATAGTGCAAATTCTCATTAAAAATGCTAGTTCCTACTCCAGGTCTTTCTTGTAGCAAGACATTTGGGACAGAAACAATGGGTAACACTGTACACCTAAGCTTAGCAAATAAATAACTTCTTTTTTCCTAATAGCGTCAATTAGATCTGTAAGAGTGTACTTGGAAAAACTAAAGAAGACAGAAAGGATGGCTATGCAATTATTTGTATAACTTTATCAAGAGTATATTACAAAACTTCAGTGAGCTGATTGGTTTCAGCATGTTTCCCATACCTAATCTGAGGCTGTACAGTTGAACAAGTGATTGTGGAGAAAAAAGCATCAGGTTTGATCACACCCTCTTATCTGTAAAAGGTTACAGATTTTCCTCGACAGATGCATTAAAATTTTTAGAAGCATTAAGGTACTATTCACAGTTGGATATTCACATCTAATATTACTTTATTTAATATACTACTCATTCTTAAATTTGAAAAGTTAGTCTGGAAAGCCTTTGTGCATAACACAGATTAACTACCAACATCTCAGCATACAATTCGGTACCTGTTGTTCCAACAAAGCTATCCTAGTGTGTTCTTCCTGCTGTTTCAGCAATGATTTACGAAGAAGTTGCACCTAACAAGGCAGAAAAACATTTGTAATAAAGAACTTCCATACACAACAGTTAATAAGCTTAACAAATAATGAATCTAAAAAGGGATGGAAGTAAACTTTTATATTCCAATGCCAACGGAAAAATGTATGCCTGTTATGCAATAGCCAAACCCAGTTCAAAGATCTCTACTTCTCTGGGGAAAACCCCAGGGAAACATTATCATTGCATTGAGCAGGGGGAATTCAGGAGGATGTTATAGTTTAAAAAAAAAAATCAAACTGAACTTTCCTAGCTGATTGCTAGGATGCAGACAAAAACACACACACAAAACCTATGTTTGCACTAACATGCCATGATGTTAAAAAAAAAACCAAGCAATGCAACCTTTTTTTAAGTAGAAGAGAACAAGTTTAAGACTCAGAAAGTACTATATTATAATGGGTTAAGTAAATGTAAAGAAAGTAAAAATATCCTCAGTTATCAGCATATATCAACTTTTATAGTGAATGCTGTTGTTCAGCTGCAAAAAAAAAATCAACACCTTTTAATCATTATTAACCAGTGTTTAGAGAGCTAACCTGTTGTTCTGGTTTTAGCCTACTTTGGTCCCCAGTAAATTTTATTCTCATATTTCAAATTTCAGTTCTACATTACTTTGTTACTGACCACAAACTTCTCTAAGTAGCAAGTCTATCTTATTTGGATGCCCTGAGGACAGTCCTTCAAGGCAAAGTCCTCTTGAGTATTCCAAACGAGGAGGTAAGCACTGAATATTTTTAAATACAAACATATAGCACATACATGTCTTCCCCCACCTCTGATCAGCCAGAGTGGTTGAAGTCATTGGGCTCAAAAGAAGACGGAAGAAAGAATTAAGAACTTCACATGAACAGAATTATTTCACTGAAGTCATCACAGTACTCTTTGGGAGATGGGCAAGCCGTGCAAACAGTTAGAATCTGACACAAAAGCAACAGAACAGATCTGGCAACAGCATAAGCCACACATACTGAACAGCCTGCCTGACAGGCACTTGTAGGCTTTATAGGGAATTACAGAACTCTGCTCAGGGGTTTCTACCATAGCAGTCTTCAAGACAGTGACAGCTTAAGGTCCATCCCTCCCCTTGCTTATCTGGCCATTGCTTTTAGTACTCAGGTGTGTCTGCATAGTTCTTATCCATGGCATCATATAGAGAGCTAAATGCAGGAACTCATCTGAATGGACAAACAAACAAAAACCCAGCTCCATGGCCACAATGGTTGGCTGGGGGCACTATCCAGAGACACAGCTGCTTATCCAGTAAGTATGAAACTACAAGCCCACGTGCATATTTGTAGCAGCCAGGTGACAGCAAATAATGATATTCCATAGTTAGGACTGCATGATGCAAATAGCCTGTATGGACTTGAATTTTTACCTTTCCTTTTCTCGTTTACTATCAACCTTGAGAATGAACTGGGTTAAAATCAATTAAGTATTCTCTCACTTCTCCCTCTGGTGTCCCACAAGACCAGGGAAATAAGTGAACAAATAAGTTCCTTATTTAAACAAGGAAATTTCACAAAAGTTTGGACTTTGATTCAAACCAATATATTAAAGAATTCAGTTTTAACCACAAGGAGATATACATAAAGAACAAGTTACCGGAGCAAGTGAGTGATGGTCCATTCTGATTAAGTATGGCTTCTCAGCTCTGTTGATTATTTGCTAATGATCTTAACCGTCCAAATGCATCCACTTACCTGACATAAAAGATCTTCAGACCTTTTCTTTTCTTCTCTGAGCTGTCCTTTAATAGTTTCATTTTCTTGTTTTAATCTCTGCACTTTCTCTCCTTTCACTTTATTTTCATTTTCTAGAGTCTTCATTTCAGCAACCTGTTGCGACTGCAGTAAGGCATTTAAACTCATTATTTCTTGTTGTGTTTCTTCATACTTCTTTTTGAATTCGTTGAGTTCAGATCTCAACTGGGTTATAGTGCGTCTTTCAGTCTCAAGATCACTCTTGGCAGTTAGTAACAGCTGGTCATAATATTTTTGCTTTTCCTCTTGCAGATGACCTTAATGAGTCAGAAATAATTGAGATAGTAATGTGAAGGGAAGACGGGAATCACTTAAAAATCAGAACACCAAATCCTTGACAGCATTTTAAAGTAGTAATGTGAAGGGAAGAGGGGAATCACTTAAAAATCAGAACACCAAATCCTTGACAGCATTTTAAAGCATACTGATAGAAATTGACACTCTAGGCTATTACACAGCTCAGACTGGCACCAAACTTAAACAGCTTTCAATACTTTTAATGCAGTAAAGTCTCCTTCCCAATATAGTTACTGGAAAACTGCAGCTTGGCTTGCATGTAGTATTCTGTGCTACAGCCACTTCCTTCACTAACCCTTATAGCAATATTATATCCTTTGCCCTGACTACACAAGCTCCATGAACCACACATAAGTTCTTACATGGCCTCATACTTTATACTGACACATGGGAATCAAGGCCCAAAGACACTAGATTCTCATCACCAGATTTAGGCTCCTTAGCCAAGGTTCTGGCATTACTCCCTCCCCAGAGATACCCTGGGGATCTGATGGGCTGTACTTCACCATTGGTGACCAAAGCCAGACTATCTGCTTCAAATTGTATGCCATCATTTACTTCTAAAATGCAAATAAAAGTGATTAGGATAGGTTTTTTTGATAAAAAAATGCCTGCTTCTTGGCTAGTGACTGTTACTTAAACCAGTTTGAAAAACTTCTGCTTGTTGACCCAAGAAAAGTTTAGTAAGTAGGGGGGGAAAAAAAAAAAAAAAAGACGACAGTCTATAGAAATTCAGTAGTAATACAAAATATACCTAAAAGCAGAATGAGGAATGCAGAATTTCACAGGCTTTACTGATTTTTGGCACTGTAAGTTTCTTGACTTTGATAGTTTTCCCCATTGAAGGCTTCTCATCATTCTTCAAAGTGTAATTACTAGGGAAAGTTACCAGGGAAACTTTCTTGCTTGACTGTTCTCCCTCCCCTCAACTATGAGCTAAGCCTTACCTCCTCATTAGCAATATTCCTTTTAGGGTGGTGAGATCTTCCGAGAGATACCAAGTTTTTCCTTGGAAAAAGTGGTCATATCTACTTTAAACTTGTATAGCTAGGTTTTTAGAAACTTGGATCTCTGCTACTGTCTAGCTGCTTGAAGAGGGAAAATTTCTTATACCCTTACTCCTAGTCTCCTGGCTGCTCTGATGACAAAGCTTTGATTACAGTAACTGAGTCACATTTCCTGGTGAGCTACTTCAGTCTGCCTCCCTTTAAAATACTTTTCATAGATTTCTGAACAGCACCAAAACAAGATTATCATATTTTACTGTTTTCCATAAAGATTCAAGCAGTAACACAGAAACCAAGCCACTAGACGTGACTTACTAAGTGGTAAGTATCTGTGGGCATACTCTTACTCCAGATGATGCTAGATCTAGTCAGTGAATTTACCTTGCAGGTCAGTTGCAGCATATATGAAATTAATAATTTGATAATAAGAAAAGCAAGCCAACTCCTTCTGGTTCTTCTGTTCAAGATGATTTTAATTTTATTCCACATGACAGTCAAGCACAACTCAAGTCAATCTGAATGCATGGTACCGAGGGGGTGCTCACTATTGAGGAACTACGTAGCGCAGAAGTGAGCTAAAGGTGGCCAGATCCATATTGCGAAACACCGTTTTGGACAGATGCCAAAACCTACCACAGGTTTTCATGCCCTGCAAAGAACTGTTCAGGTGAGTAAAGAACATTGCAGTCTTGAGTCATTTTTATAATATTTATTTTGAAAAACAAATTTAAAAACCCTAATCCACACCTAGCTAATAAATCCTTAATGCTTCTATTATGTAGGTTGAAAGTGTACTTTGAAGGATGGGAGACATACATATATTTGCCTCAACACTTTCTGCAAACAGAGAGGTTGCTAATAGAGTGTCAAGGCTGTTAAAAACCATCTTTGAGGTAGATAAGAACTATCTAGAAACTAACTAGAAATACTGTTGATCAAGTAATGTAGCTAGATAACAGGAAACAAAGAAATTAACTTAACCAAGTTTTACCATTAAGAAACCAAAATGTTGAGAAGAAAAGGTTTGATTTTGTTTCATTATGCTCTAATTTGTTTTCAGAAAACTTATTCTATAAATAGTTATGGTGTGGGTCATTTGTGGGGAAAAAAATGAAGTCAATACCTTCTGAACTCATTTCTTTAGATTCTTGTTGGTTAACTATTTCTGACTTCTGTTCAAGTTCAAAGATCCTTCCAAGCAGTCCCCTGACATACACTTCACGTTGCTGATCATACAGTAGCCACTGTTGGTTTTTCTCAAGAGCCTTCATGAAAAGGAACATAAGAACAACAAAAAAGCCTCTGGTAATCAGATTTTAGAAGTAGTCTTAAAAATGGTAAAAGTTAGGTATTATACAGTTTAAAGATAAGCTAGTTAATTCTGCTGCAAATTGTAGTAATCTTCTCTGTACAAGAAATAAAACCCATCTTCATTTGGAAAGATAAGTCAGGCTGTTGAGCATAAGTTAAAATTGCAGCAATATTAAACACTGATTGGCTTATTTCTTGGAATAGGAAAATGACTTAAAAACAAAGACTTTCCTGAGTCATGCCCAGATTATGAAGAATTAACCTTTCAGTCTCAAATATAAGATACAACATAGAACAACAGATCTTGAAAATGGAATAAACTAAAACTATACCATTGCAACTTAAAGTTTGTAAGAACAAGGACATTGATTTTATATCTGATTGGATCATAGAATTATTCAGGCTGGAAGGGACCTCAGGAGGTTTCTAATCCAACCTCATGCTATCCCAGGCAGTGTCAGCTCTGAGGTCAGACCAGATTACCCTGTTTTGTCAGCAACCACTTTGTTCTGATATATCAAGCAAGGTTTTTCAAAGATGATGGAAACTGCCTTTTTTCTTTTTTTGCAAGTCTTTTTCTTTATTTTGTTTAAATTGTGTTGTCACAATATAATCTTAGATATTACATTTTAGAGGAAAACATACCCTCTGAGGTCCCATACTACCCAGAAACACAGATGGTGATAATTTACATTCTTATGCATCTTGATACTTGCAGTGTTGTACATGAAACTTACATCTTTCAGTTGTTTTTCAACTTCGTAAAGATCAGTTGGTGATCCAGTGCTGTTTGTTACAGCTTCCTGCAGACAAAGAACAATCTCTTAGTGTTCTTTAAAATAGATGGCTGAAACAGTAAAGCTAGTCCTGTATAAGTATTAATCTCACATAAATAGCATAAGAATTATTTTAAAAATGGAGAACAGATGCATACATGCGCCTTTTGTGTTTAAGGATCTTCATAGTCTTTCTTCTTTTTTAGAAAAGGATCAAAGTTAGATAGAAAACCATTTCATCAATTTAAAATAAAATCTCCTGGAAGATACAGGACAAAGATTTACATTTAATTTACTCTATAACTCTGCAACTCATAGTTACATTAAAACATTTCTTAAGAAGAATATCATATGTCTTCTGCTAAACTGCTATCTTGGAAGACCTGAAGGGTACAGGAAAGCTTCTGAAAAAATTAAGATACTTAAGGTATTATTTAAATACACAAGGAAGGTGTGTGCTCTATTTTCATATCCTCCTACATTTGACAATAAGCTAGACCTGTAAGGAGTTGTTGGGGAAAGCTAGAGACCTTGACAACTTAATTGGAATAACAGGAGGTTTATAAACATCTGTGAAACCATACAAGCCTGTCTGGAACCATAAGGACATACTGACTGGTTTTCTGAGACCTGATCCACAGTAGAGTGCTTAAAGCATGAGTTGGAGAGTTCTTTACACCCATCTAAAACTAAACAGCTATTAAACAGTTGTACTTTTATAATCTGACATGTTTATTCACTGCATGATAGAAAGCTTTTTGAAATTGTGTAGATACAAGTCAGAGGGAACTTTAAGGAAATAAAAATGTAGATTACTGGCCAAATCCAAGCTACATTTTTCCAAAGTTTTCCTGTGTTCTTTGGAATGTGATTTGGAACAAGCTGTATAGCTGAAAAAATACAGGAGATCTTTGAATGCAATTATTAAACTTTAGCACTTCCTAATAAAAATGGGATTGAGACACTATAATTGCTCCAATTCCTATTTCTATGAACATTAGAACTCTATCTCAATGAAAACTTCTTCAAAATTGTGTAATACAACTGTTGCATCCATTTCAGAGTATACCTGCTGCTCGTACGCCACCTAGCAGTTTCAAGCAGCATTGCTAGACTTGTTCTCAAGTTTTCCAAGACATCCAGTCAAAACATCAGTCAAATTTTGTTGTCCTCTGTTGATAAATCAGTAAAAAATTTAAAAGAAAATTCTGATTTTAAACTGAAAGCTATTTTGGTAGTTCATTGACAAAAATATCATGGAAATCTGTTGAAATAACATACATTTTAAGTTCTCTAACAAAGTTCAAAGTCTCTTGAAAATGCAAACAAACACATTGCAGTTAAAGTCGTATTTCCCAAGATACTGCATTATTAGAAGTGATACATATATGTGTTATCATTGAAAGTTAGTAGATATGTGGCTAAAGCTGGATTTCTAGAATTACTCAACTTCCCTGTAGCACGTGGGGAACCAGCACCATCTGCAGGTCAAAAGCTGGAAAAGACTTACAGGCACCAACTTCCCTGTCCCCCTTACTACTGCATTTTCCATGGAACATTAGAACAGGCAAGGGTGGAAAAACACTGTAGAAAACTAAATGCACTTGTAAACATTGCCAAGTAACTAGCACCGTAGCTGTTAACCATTTTAAATGAGAAGCCACTCATTATTCCTGTCCTATCTTCTGTCACATTGAAGTATTTACATGGCATCACACATGGTGAAGTACAGGCAGCTAGTTTTAACAGCTGAGGAGGAGGAGGAGAAAGATACTCTCATAGAATAGTCTGGGTTGGAAGGGACCTGTAAAGGTCATCCAGTCCAACCCCCCTGCAATGAGCAGGGACACCTTTAACTAGATCAGGTTGCTCAGCGCCCCATCCAACCTGACCTTGAATGTTTCCAGGGATGGGGCACCTACCACCTCTCTGGGCGGCCTGTTCCAGTGTTTCACCACCTTCATCATAAAAAATTTCTTCCTTATATCTAGTCTGAATCTACCCTTTTAGTTTAAAGCCATTACCCCTTGTCCTGTCACAACAGGTTGTGCTAAAAAGTTCGTCCACATCTTTCTAATAAGACCCTTTAAGTACTGAAAGGCTGCAGTAAGGTTTCTCCGGGGCCTTCTCTTCACACTGAATGATCCCAACTCTCTCAGCCTTTCCTCATAGGAGAGGTGTTCCATCCCTGTGACCATTTTTGTGGACCTCCTCTGGACCTGTTCCAACAGGTCCTTGTCTTTCCTGTGCTGAGGACTCCAGAGCTGGATGCAGCACTCCAGGTGAGGTCTCACCAGAGCAGAGGGGCAGAATCACCTCCCTCGACCTGCTGGCCATGCTTCCTTTTGATGTGGCCCAGGATACGGTTGCCTTTCTGGGCTGCGAGTGCCCATTGCTGGCTCATGTCCAGCTTTTCATCCACCAGTACCCCTGAGTCCTTCTCTGCCGGGCTGCTCTCAATCCCTTCATGCCCCAGCCTGTACTGATATCAGGGGTTGCCCCATCCCAGGTGCAGGACCTTGCGCTTGGCCTTGTTGAACCTCATGAGGTTCAACACTTATAAAGCTTGTCCAGGTCTCTCTGGATGGCATCCCACCCCTCAGGCATGTCAACCACACCACTCAGCTTGGTGTCATCTGCAAACTTGCTAAGGGTGCACTTAATGCTTTCTTTGACCTTTCTTTTCTGGCTGACATACTTGTAGCAGCCCTTCTTATTCTTTGCATCCCTTGCCATGTTCAGCTCCAGCCATACCTTGGCCTTCCTGACTCCATCCCTACACAACTGGGCAATGTCCCTATACTCTTCCCAGGATACCTGTCCCTGCTTCCAGTGCCTGTGCATTTCCTTCTTGCCCTTTAGTTTGACCAGCAGGTCTTGACTCAGCCATGCTGGTCTCTTGCCTTCCTTTTCTGATTTCTTACACCTTGGGATTGAGAGCTGTTGTGCTTTATGGAATGTGTCCTTAAAGATCTGCCAGCTCTGTTCTGCTCCCTTGTCCCTGAGGGCAGTTTCCCAGGAGAACCTATTGACTAACTCCTTGAACAGCTAGAAGCTTGCTTTCCTAAAATTCAGCATCCTGACTTTACTCTTCACCTGACCCATACACCTCAGGACTGTGAACTCCACCCAGTGCATGATCACTGCAGCCCAGGCTGCCACCAATCTTGACATCGCCAATGAACTCATGAGTGAAGCTGAATTAGGTGAGGAACTTAGTTTGTCTTTATTAATGCCCTGTGTATCTTACTGCTGCCTTTTCAGTCTGTTTAATGACCGAGCATACAAACCCAAGAAGGGCATAATGTCTGCTTAAGCAGCAGTGAATCATTACATGTAGTACCACTAGTCATACCACCTGCATGTGAGCTTGAAAAAGGTACCTTGCAGTACAGCATTAGAGAATTCTCCCCCCAGCTGCATTGCCTGAAGTTGTGCTTCCTAGCTGTTCTTCATTTAGCATTCAATCTGGATACCATCTCTCTTCATACAAGAATATTTCAGCACACAATGCAACTTGTTAGAAGATTAAAAAAATTCTCCTAATTTTATAACAGATATCAGTGCTTAGTGGGCAAGTCTGTAAACAGGTTAGACTTGGAATTTGCAATTACAATGTTTCTCCAGTGCTTACCTGGGAAGTACTGGCTCTGTTTTCAAGCTCGAAACATTTTGCAGTAACAGCAGATAAATTACATTTTAACCGGTCCATTTCTTCTGATAGAGAACGAAGTAACTGTTCTCTCCTTTCTGCTTCCTTTGTTTTTTCCTCTAGTTGACTTTGTAGTGAGGAGACTTCACTATTCTTATTTTTGGATCTAAGCTTGTCCTTCAGGTTTTGGATTTCTTTGTCCTTCTCTCCAAGAAGATGGTTGTGTTTTTCTTTTTCAAGGGAAAGTATTTTCTAAATGAAACAGAATAAAAAAGTGACACAAATGAATAAGTGTCAGCCTATGCAACAAATGCATTAGCAAGTTTACAACAGTTTGAGAAGATACTCACTTTGAAAGGGTCTCTCAGCCTTTAATTAGCTGAGAATATTACTTTTTACTCAAAACAGACAATACTACAGTGATCATCTGAAATATTTAAAGTGATAGTAACAACAGCCTGAAGTAGATGAAACAAGGAAAGAATGCAAAGAACCAAATTTCACAGACTTGGTAGGTACTCTTGTATATGAATACAGATCACTACAATAGATGAACCTTAAAACACAAGCAGTACAAGAACTCTTGAACACTTCCAGTGAAGAGGTTGGTGATACATTTCTTAGTGTTGATTAGCATATTTAGTAGCTTTTGAGAAGCAGCAGAGCCTTCTTGCAAACTAAATGACAATAAGTGAAGTTACAAGAGTTATAATCAAGCATTCAGGAGAAGGATCCTGTTTTCCAAATCATCTGGCCTTTTAGTTTCAAAACGTGCTTTAGTAGATATTTTCAACAGGCACTCTCTTTTTCAGTAGGCCTCCAGCACAGGTAATTATTACATAGCATTAGTACTGCATTTGAGATGCCTTGGGACTCTACATAAACTTCTGTTACAATAGCGTTTCATTTGCCATGAGAGAGGCTGATGTTGAAATCCTACAGGTTGATATCAAGTCATCAGAAGATGACAGAAACTGAAAGAAATTGAGTTTTAGAGAGCCTCATTTAGGGAGTGGATGAAGACCACACAGTAGTCACCAGAATTAAAATATTGACACCAAATAGCACCTCGTATATCTAAACATGCCTGTGATTTTCCACCTGTAAACTAGGAACCCAATATTAAGTAATCAACACTGAGCAAGCAGCAAACTCCACCAGACATGGCAAATATGCTAAGGAATTTAGCAACAACAGTACATGAGCTGTCTAGCCACAGCTGATACTTGGGTTAGCACTTCTCAACTGATGATGTGGCACAGACACAGACAAAGCCTTATTGTCAAAAGTAGCAGCCTAGAGAGATTAGTGTGCCTAGTCTCCATTAGCAGTGTCCTTTGAAAGAGTCCATTTAAAGTTCCCCAGTCCTTCTGGGAAGCCTAACAAACAAATCTTGAACAACTTTCTCTGCAGCCACAGGTTTACCTTGGATGGACTACAAGGCATGGAAGTTGTAGTGTCTTCATTTCTGCTCTTTGGTTGTAATGGAAGAATAATGTAGTGAACTGATTACAGTTTTATTTGCCTATAGCCGAGTGGGAGCTCGAGAACACAGTTCAAGCAGGTACGCAGGACTTTTTTTTACATGTTCTTAGGCAACTGTTTGCAAACACAATGTTCTTTCCAGGAAATGCTCAAAATAATTCTCTGGGACCAACTGTTCCAAACAGTTGGACACATGAGAACAGGTCTTAATGGACTAATTAGCACCTCTGGCCTTCAAGTCTTTGTATTTAACAGCCTTGTCAGATGTCTCTAATTTGATTAGCTCAGTCATTGTTGAAAAAAATTTGAGAACAAAAATGTCAAACTAAAACAGCAGTAACATCAAAGTAAACTAAGTTTTAAGATGAAAGATTGGTATCTTGCTTACGAAGTTGGACACACTCAGACTCACATTAACCGTGCACAATTGGGACATCACAGACTTTAGCTCGAGTACAAGTGTGCACCTCACCTCCAGAAGCCCGTTCCTTTCCGCATCGGTCATTTTGCTTTTCCCTTTCAAGACTTCCTCCATTGATTTTCTCAGGGCCGCGTTCTCCTGCTTATACTTCTCGAGATCATTCTCAGGCCTGGAGCTACCCGACTTGAAGCCCCACTTGCCAATAATGCCAATATCTTTGGCGGTCTTGGAATTCATCTTTAAGCGCCTATAGAAAAAAAAAAAAAAAAAACCAGACGCAGCGTTACGGAATAGCAATCCCTTCCACTAGGCAGGGCTGTACTTCGGTCAGAGTTTTAGTCAAGCACGGGCAGCGCAGGGCTTCCCGGCTCCTGCTGACGGCTTTCGGACC